ATATAAACCGTGTGTATTCACTGTAAACTGTAAGTCATATGGGCAAAATAACAGCTGCCACTCTAACCCATAAACAGAAAGTAAGAGAGCTCTATAGACTAATAGGAGGGTGTCAGTGAGTACCAGTTGTTGCAGCAACACATTTAATTAAAGCCCCCCATGGAGGAGAAGAGGGGTGAGACAGAAAGAGTAGACAGGTGAAAAATAATAACGGTCTGTGTGTGTTTCAGAGACAGAAACAAAGTTCTCACCCTCCTTTCTTCACAGGCCAACCGGTGAAGAAACAAGTTGAAACAAAGGAGCTTTCTTCCCCACTACCTCAGGGACAGATGTCAGTATTTATTATTCTAAACATCAAAGCTGCATTTTTCTTTTGTTTTCCAGAGAGGACAATTTTTAAATCCACAATGTAGTCTTATGTAAAGGAGCCAAAAAATGTCAAGTGTTGTTTTCCTGACTTTTTGGGGACTTTCATGTACTGTAGTGTATAATAGGACAGTGGTCAGTCAGCCAGGAGCCTGGGAAGTGAGTGCAGGTTTTCCTACCGAGCGCAGCTCCTGTTTGAGCTCTTGTTATGGCTGTCGCTTGTTTTCTCAGTGAGCTCTGCGCACAGTGTGTGTGAGATAGTGTGTGTGTGGTGAGGCTCGGGTATTGTTGTGGGGCAGATCTAAAAACAAACAGACTTTGCAGGACTCAGAGGAGAGCGTGACTCAGGAGCAGAGCCTCTTTTTCCTTCATTCACTCAAACACGCATGATTTACAGATCTGTCGAACATGGAGGCTGGATAAACATCGCTCCGTTGGGGCAGAGCATAAAGAATTTTGGGAAACTCTGCGCTCAGTGGGAAAATAAACACGTATGACACAATGGCAGGAAAAAATGAAACAAACAACAAATCCAGTCACACAAGTAGATAAGGTGACGATAAACTCAGATAAAAATGCAATAAAACTGGAAAAACCAAAGTGGAAGACCACCAATCAACTATCGAGGGCAGTGTATCAGATTTATGAATGTAAATTACCATTTAATATTCTGAAACAGTATCTGGTCATCACACAAACATAAGTCCGTTGTCTGTCATCATCTGTTTCCAGACCGTGGTAAGCCAAAAGCTGCAAAATGGCTGTTTACCTGAATTATTCTGTTCCGTAACATGTGCTTAGTACAGCCTGACACCTATAATCAAGACCTTTCAGGGATCATCAGATGTCAAAATCACTGCCTGCTCCAAATCCCTGTTGTCTCCTGCTGATTAACTGTACACAATGTAGGCCATAATCCCGTATGTTACACCGGCCTCTCCTCCTCCTCAAAGCTGTGTATTTTCATTGGCATGGAGATGTTGGCAGTGGGAGCCATTTTGATTTTATGACCATCCTGTCCAGCTATAATACACCCACCCCACGACCCCCACCTCTCCCTGTGTTGTTATGGTTGGCTGTGCAGGTCCACTCAATGCTGTCAGGGCAGCAGACAAACAATGCCACACAAGACTCTGCCTCGGTATTAATTAGAAGAGGAAGCCAGCGATTTATCGCCTTATGTTTCTGGCTCACAACGCTGAATATGAAGCATTGTTTGTGGAAATATTCCATCATGCTGGGCAGTTATGATAAGTGAGAGGGTGGAGGTCGATGTTGTCCAGCCAGAAAATGGGTTAGAAATGACACAAATGCAGGTGAGGCATGTGTTTCCATTTTAGAGTCCAGCTCCTTCATTTCTAGGAATAGCAGTATTAAATACTGTAGTGGTTATGTGTAACCCAAATATAGCATACCACAGGTCTATACATAGATATAATTACACAGGGTGAAGTCATGGGAGGGATGGCTAAGCAGTTTTTCTGCAATTGCACAGCAAATTTAACCAAAACCTCCAATCATAATGAAACAGGGTGAGGGTGCAAACCCATCATTACAGGGATCAACCGTTTCATCATGTCAACCTGAGAGAATAATATTTTCACCATTTGTTCATTCTCAGAGGCAAACCCACAAAAATATAAATGAGTCAAACACCTGTTAAGCAATGACAAATGAATCCTGAACAAACAAAACTGGCAGAAAACAAATAGCTGCCGCAGAAAAGAGCAAAGAGACAGAAGAGGAGATTGTGGTTCAGTCCTGGCATTCAACAGGTAGCCACAAGCACACACTCACAATAACACAGTTGTAGCATGATTGTTGAGGACAGAGCTGAGCCTCCTCTGGCCTGGCATGGTGTTTGTATCCATTAAACTAAAACTCTGACAGGGAACAATACTTGGAAGTAGAAACATGCACCAGAGCATTCTTAGGAAATCAACAACACAGAGAGAGAGAAAAAAAATCCACAAAACAAAACAATGAAACTACATCTCCACACTAATCAACCCT